AAATGTGAATGGGTTGGGCCCCCCGAATGTTGTACAGGTTCCCTTATTGCCCCTCACCACCCCCCTGCTCCTCACGGGTTTTTTTTGTTTTCCCTCCTAATTCCCTTAAATATGTTTGGCAGTGTGCAGATTTGGGCCCGGCCCCGAGTATTTCCCCGGTTGTATTATCATGTTCTCTTCTCCTCGCTCCAATAGTACATGTTCAAGACTTGAGGGGTTTCCGTAATTTGGTGCTTTATGGTCAATGTGAGCGTAAACAATTCGTATTTTCTCCCGCTCTGATTTCTCCTGCTTTGAATGGGGCCCCTCGCACTGAGCAATATTTATTAGGGGCACTAGCAATTTGAAAATGTCACCAGTGGATTATTTTCCCCCGTTTTTAAAGTTCTCAATACCCCTCCCGTATCTTCCTGGTGTCGTATCTTTGTTTGTTTTTGGTCTTTAAAGAAAGGTCAGCTGACATAATTTTCCAGTTTTTTTGTGGTTCCTTTGTTCTTTTGGTTCTCTTGAGTTTTGGTAAAGTGTTCCTTTTGAGTTCTTTTCTTTCCATACTAAGCAGCTGGAGTTATCACACTGAACGTATGTTTTTTTTCCCCTGCCCATTTGGGAAAAAACCCTTTCTCATCTCTTCCCGTAAAATTTTTAGTGTCCCCCATCTTAGGACTTTCTGCTTATTTTAGTGTATCTGCAAATGATGGACAGTTAAAAACCCTGCCAATATAAACTAAAAATGTAATCTTAATACTACTGCACAAAAAGGTTAGGGGTTCTGGTTCATAAACCCAAAACCAAGAAACAGTGTTGTGTTGCAATAAAACTAAAGAATCTTGGCTTATATTAAAGAATAAATAATAAGTCCTCGGTTTTCTTCAACTTTATATATCCTTGGTTAGGCTTCATTTAGACTATGCTGCTCAGTTCTGGTCACCGTATTACAGAATGGATATAAATGCTCTGGAAAACGTACAAAGGAGGATAACAAAGATGATCCCATGTATCAGAAATCTTCCCTATGAGGATAGACTGAAGGCCCTGAATCTGCACTCTCTCGAAAGGCGTAGAATTAGGGGGGATATGATCGAGGTGTATAAATGGAAAACAGGAATAAATAAAGGGGATGTAAATAGTGTGCTGAAAATTTCCAGCCAAGACAGGGCTCGCAGCAGTGGTTTCAAGTTGGAAAAATTCAGATTCAGGAAAGTACTGGTTTGGTAATAGAGTTGTGGATGAGTGGAACAAGCTCCCGAGTACAGTTATTGAGGCTAAAACGTTGTGTAGTTTTAAAAATAGGTTAGATAAATGCATGAGTGGGTGTGGGTGGGTGTGAGTTGGACCTGGCTAGCTTGTGCTGCTGGGTCTGGTACAGTGCTCCATCCTTGAGTGGGGATGACCGGACTGGGTGGGTCATTGGGATAATCCGGGGGGTGGGTCATTGGTCTAATCCGGGGTGGGTGGGTCATTGGTCTAATCCGGGGGGGGGGGCATGGACCTGCTCCTCATGGGTCAGTAGGCCTGTTGCAGTGTTCCTTCTTTCTTATGTTCTTATGATACAAAAGTGTGACTAGTGTTTTTATCTATGTCTGCTATGAGGATGAGAAACAGCAGAGGTGCCAGGACAGTGCCTTGGGGCACTGAGCTTTTTAATTCGCTGATGCTGGATCTTGCTCTGTTTACTACTACTTTTTTGTGTTGTGTGTGTTAGGAATCCGAAAATCCATCTGCCTACCTTCCCCATAATGCCCATGGCCCTCATTTTGTAGGCTATCACTCCATGATTGCATTTGTTAAAAGCCTTTGTAAATCACGTGTGTTTTGGTCTTCTTCCAATGCATGTGGGGTGTTTGTCAAGGGAGTAGTGGGATATGGGTTGTGGCTGCATTCTCTGGCATGACAAAGAAGAGCATGCTTGGTGTCATCCAATCTGTCTGAAAGGAAGTCACCAATTTTGCCAAAGTAGAGAGGACAAGAGGAACAGGAAATGGAGTACACTGGAAGCATCATTGACACAGGTAGTATGAACAAGATTACTGGACTGAAACATCGTCTTATGAGTCCTCTTCTAGGTGTGGGCTTTTGGTGAATTGTTCCAGCCTTGGTACTGTGATTTTTACTCTTCACATTTTAGAGGTAAATTTATACAGAATAAGCAGAATACTGACCTTTATATTATGACTTGTTTGTAAGTTAGTTATTATGAATCAGAATGCTGACTTTCTTTGTAATAACTCAGGTTAAAAATTATAATACAATATTAATCACTACCTTCACTTCACACACTATGCCCCTCCCACTCATTCTCCTCCTCCTCTCTAATGTGTACATACAATAATCAAACAATGCTTCATATTATTTATAAATGAATAGGAAAAGTTGTGAATGTACAACATTGGGTAAAATCCTTTGGAAAAATAAATGAAATTAGATATGAAATATTATGGCTTTTAAATGCATTTTACATTGTTTCTAATGGGAAATGCAGTGGAACCTCTACTTGCGAGCGTGTCCACATGCGATTTTTCCAAATACGAGCAGTCGATGTGTCAATTTTTTGCTTCCATATGCGAGCAAAATTTCCACAAGCGAGCAGACCTCAAGGCAGGTTCCTTGACACTGGTGAGGGGCTCTTGCTCTTGATCTTGGGAATTGTATCTCATTTGTTTGTTGGACTATCTTATTGAAGCTTGGGCAATGTATGATGGAAAGATGCTTCTTAATGTACACCAAAAATGAAAGAAATCTAACATAAATAATGGAGTTCACTTCTCAGCAATTAGCCACCCCTTAGTGGTAATTTCGAATGGTTTTTATGGTTGTATTCTCGTTTTTTTTGGTCTCATTTGATAGAATGGAAGATAAATTACAGAAATAGATATGATTTTGATTGCTTACGACGAAAAGTGCCTTGAAATTGAGCTCAACCTAGGAGAAGTTGTCCATTGCTTGGCTGTTTCAGTGTAAACATATGACGTCACTGTCCATTCCAATATGCAGTCGTGAATGGGTTGGCATATTTATACAATTATTGCAATAAGGAATAACAGTAAATCTTATATTTTTTGTGTGAATAAAAATTACAAATAATTTATATAATAATAATAATAATAACGATAATAATAATAATAATAATATGTATAATAATAATATGAATAATAACAATGCGTTGACCCCCGGAACTCTCTCCAGGTAATACAATAATAATAGTAATATGTATAATAATACATATATAATAATAATGTACTACATATAATACAGTGGACCCCCGGTTAACGATTTTAATCCGTGCAAGAGGGGTAATTGTTATGCGAAATAATCGTTATGTGAATAAATTTTTCCCCCATAAGAAATAATGGAAATAAAATTAATCCGTGCAAGACACCCAAAAGTATGAAAAAAAAAATTTTTTACCACATGAAATGTTAATTTTAATACACACAAACTGAAAAAGGCATGCACACTTACATGACACTTACTTTTATTGAGATCTGGTGATGATTGATGGGATGGGAGGAGGGGAGAGCATTATCTTCTTACTGTTTAGAAGGGGAATCCCCTCCATTAGGGCTTGAGGTAGCAAGTCCTTTTCGGGGTTACTTCCTTTTTTCTTTTAATGCCACTAGACCAGCTTGAGAGTCACTGGACCTCTGTCGCACAACAATCTGTCCATAGAGCTCTGTACCTCCGTTCCTTTACGATTTGTCTAAAATGGGCCACAACATTGTCATTGAAATAGTCACCAGCACGGCTTGCAACAGCTGTGTCAGGGTGATTTTCATCCATAAAGGTTTGCAGTTCAACCCACTGTGCACACATTTCCTTAATCTTTGAAGTAGGAAACAATGGATTCACAACTGGCATAGGCTTCTCAGGGTTACCCCCCAACCCTTCAAAATCTTTCTTAATTTCCATACTAATTCTCACCCTTTTTCCCACGGGGTTGGCACTAGAAGCTTTCTTGGGGCCCATGGTCACTTATTTTCCAGAAACACCACCGAAAACACTGTAATAATACGAAATATTCCGAGTGCATGCTTGGATGTTAGCGCGGAGGCTGCCTGGTAAACAATGGCACGGGCGGCACATGTGAGGCTGGGTGAGGGCGCACATTGGACGCGTCTCGGACGAAAATCGGTGAGCGGGTTTTTAATCGGTATGCGTGGCAAAAATTTTGCGATTAAAGTAAACGGTATGCGAAATAATCGCTATGTGATGCCATCGTTATGCGGGGGTCCACTGTAATTATAATAACAGACGGCTTCAAAAGGCCGTCACTAGATGGCAGTGTTTACCACAACAAAGAGGGAGCGGTTGTGGCCGCCTCCACCTGTTACATAATGACATATTTTATTCATTCTAGAGTATATATCATGTTTCTATGTTATTCATATTGTTTGTTATGTCATACTAGATGAACTGTGATAGATAAATAAGCAGTATAGAAGATATTAGCAAAATTATTCATGAAGTATTTTGCCCGGTCTCCAGACACTCTCTCGTCCACCGCCGACACCGCCCATACCACTACATGAATGACATATTTTATTCATTTTTGAGTACATATCAAGTTTCTATGTTATTTATATTGTTTATTATGTCATATTAGATGAAGTGAGATAGATAAATAAGCCGTAGAGTTGATATTAGCGAAATTATTGAAGTACAGAATTCCACTGGAACGGATTAATTGCATTTCAATTAATTTAAATGAGGAAAATTGATTCTGCAAACGAGCAAATCCAGTTGCGAGCAAGGTCATGGAACGGATTAAACTCACAAGTAGAGGTTCCACTGTATTATCCAAGTGCCAAACAATCAACCAACAATGAATATCCAGAAACACATTAACATCATAAGTTATAGTCTCTCAATTTAAAGAATGACAAACTTGCAGCCTTAAGATACATCTTTAACAGAGCCAGAAAAAATGTTTAAATAAATGATACTTTAAAAACAAAATTACATTAATAACCACATAAATAATACCCTTTTATGCTTTTGTGTAGCTGCAGCAACACACCAATATTAGTGTAACATGAAAACTTTGGTGAGTGTTAGTGACTATGAAACTGAGGCACACAGAATCTTGCCCCAAAATGCTCTTGACTACTACCGATCTGGAGCCATGCAAGAAGTTACTCTTCAAGAAAACAAGGAGGCATTCAATGGGTATGTTTAATTTGCATAAGCAGTTCTGTCCTAAGTACACCAATGAATAAATCCTTAAAAGTATTCAGACAAATTATAAATAATGATATACAAATGTGAAAGAATAGTATATTAACTTTTTGCAGATGGTATATTCGGCCAAGGGTCTTAAGAGATGTGTCCAAGAGCAGCCTTTCTACCACCATACTAGGACACAAAGTCAGTGTTCCATATGGCATAGCACCAACAGCTATGCAAAGAATGGCCCATCCAGATGGGGAAATTGCCAATGCAAGAGGTAGGGTGGAACAATACTATACTTTTAACTTAAGTGTCCAACATTCCTGTGTTAATCAAGTTAGGCAAACATTTTTTCACTAAAGTTATATACAGTGTAACAATACAGAATTTATTTTTATCACAACATTATTGCAACTAGCCAGTATCAATAAATGCACTAGCCATTAAGTATTTACCATACCTATACTGTTTGAGCAGAAGTCAAAAGACACTTTTGCACCCCTCATACACCCCATGCCTTTAAACCGTAGCAGACCCAGAAATGGAAATTTATTTGGGGCAAAATTTATTATACTGTAATTACTATATCTGTTCTTACAAATTGAAAGAACCTGCTTTTCTAACTGGAACTATGAAAAGAAAATTTAAATCAAAGGTTTAATGGCATGTTAAGATTGGTGATAATTATCACCTGTCATCAGCAGTACAGTATGTTTTTTTTCAATTTATATATGAAAATTATTATTTTTTTTTTAAATCTCATTTTTTATTTTCAATGCACACTATTTTGCTACAATAATAGGTGTGTTTCAAAATGTTTCAGTACTTGTACAGTGAACCCTTTCATTAATCAACTAATAAGGGGAGGGGGGCATACAATATTGTTGATTGTCTGAAACTCCCAGATTACAAAATTAATTTTTCATGATTGTCCAGTGATCTTCTGAACTAGCGGTCTCATCCACTGATGCAAAAGGCAACCAAACACTGTAGTCTGTAGTACAATACTGTACAGTATAGTAACTGAAGATTATTGAATCAGTTTGAAATACAGTGGTACCTCGGGATACGAACTTAATTCATTCCAGAAGTCTGTTCGAGTGCCGATACCGAACAAATATTTCCCATAAGGTATAATGTAAATTAGATTAATCCATTTCAGACCCCCAAAAATACACTTACAAAAGCATTTACATAAATACACTTACATAATTGTTTGAGTTTTAACCCTTTGACTGTTGGAAGCCCATTTCTGAAACTGTCATTCTATGTCGCAAATTTTTTTGGAAAAAAAAAAAAATTCTTATGAAATGATAGAGAATCTTTTCCCAATGGTAATGACACCAAAAGTTCGAAATTTGATCAAAAACTTATGGAATTACACTCCAGTGAAGTTGGTGATCTCGGCGATATATACGCATCAGCAATCTCACAAACTTTGAGCCCTATTTTCGGCCAATTCCATTGTTCCAAGTACAAGAAACCACTCATCTACTGATTTCAACTACCCAATGAAGTGGTCAGAAACTGGCAATTTGGCCAATTTCACGCAAATTAAAAAAGATGCCAATTTCAAAATAGGGTCCTGAATAAACAAAGCAGACATTCTTGACACTAAAATAACATATCCTCTGTTCATTAGTCACGTCCCCAGGCCCCTCTATTACTCTTGCTTTCTATTTCGATTTTTTATTCATAAATAGAAGATTTACAGTTATGCAGACTACTGCATTATTGTTGACGTGTATTGGACGTGTGGTGTGATTTGCTTACTCTTGAACATTGGTAAAAATCGAAACATTTCCGCTACTTTGAGCTCAAATTCAAGGTCGTTTTCATCTTGAAATTAATCAAAATCATCTCTACTTCTGTACTATGTTTTCCATTCTATCAAATGAGACCAAGAAAATGAGAACACAACCATAAATACTATATGAAAATACACCTCAAAGTCGGCATTTTAATTCAGAGGTTTTTTTTTTTTCCTCATTATGCACTTTGTGCCGCACAATTTTGTTTATACAGTGCACATTGACCACACAGACCCATTCTCTCACATGTGGGCCTACCAATTTCTCCTGCTTGATTTGAAGTTGCTAGAATTACTGAGTATATATATACATACGTCCAAAACACTGGCTCGTAAGACGTATATATATGGCCGAAACAATCAAGGGTTAAGCTGTTCGTATCCCGGGGTACCACTGTAATAAGAAATACTTTGTAACTGACCATTTATTTATTAGCTACCTTTCTTATTGTACTTATGATTATTGTTAGCTGCATAAGAAATCCTAGTTAACCCTTAAACGGCCCAAACGTATATATACATTCTTACACGTAGCGCCCCAAACGTATTTATACATTTTATTTTTCCTGCCTTCAAATTTGGCACGATTGGCCTGAGATGCCTTGTCAGCATAGAATGGGTCCTAACACTCAGTGTGTGCAGTATTAAAAAAATCTGGGACCACTTAGTACCTTCTGGGAGAGCCAGTTAAATTGAGCGCCAGCTAGAGCAAACAGTGCGGCAAACACCAAGGATTCACTGATGTAATGTCATATCAACACTCCTCTTTTAAGAGGAAAGTGATGTTAACCCCAAGATTAGGGTCTGTATCTCTGTATCTCTGTCTATCTCTATCTCTGTCTTCCTCTGTCTATCTCTGCCTATCTCTGTCTATATCTGTCTCTCTCTTTCTGTGTCTATCTCTGTCTCACAGGTACACATAAATACAAGTATACATAGTGTAAATTACCTAGGATAACCCAAAAAATCCAGACAAAGTGCTATACTCTGCTTGAAGATATGAGTAAAGGTGATGATGCAGTCTTGTGGCTCTCTCTGAGACAGAGAGCTAGACGGATAGACAGCTAGACAGGGAGCTTGACAAACACAGACATGTTTATGTACCAGTAAAAACAAAGTGAGGGCGATGTTCATCAAATATCACCTCTAATCTTTTCTTATCTGTTGCACCCTCCCCTACCCTCATGTATGCCCATCAAATGTCAGCTCTTATCAGATGTTATTTCATCTTATCATGTCACTGTCAGGGGTGGACTTTGTTTTTCATGCTTCAAGGGAACTTATTATTACCTATTATTATTATTATGCATTATTCTTCTCTTCCTCCTCCTCCTCCTCCTCCTCCTTCTCCCCCTCCATCTCCTCCTCCTCCTTCTCCCCCTCCTCCTCCATCTCCTCCTCCTCCTTTTCCTCCTTCTCCTATTCATCTTTCTCCTCCTTCTCCTCCTCCTCATTGTTATTATATACTTCCACATATCCAAAACATTGTTGGGACATATGAATACTTTGTATATATTCCAAGACAATAGTAAATGGCTAAGGCAAGTGTAAATGTCCACCTGTTAGTGTGTCTGTGACAATTTGAGTACAATTTCAGTACCTAATACTAGTGTCAGAACAAAGATTGGTTATGAAATGACAAGAACTACTACAAATTGTATTTATCAGAACATAAAAATTACATAAAATAATATGAAAAATAGAAAACAAGGTACATCGGCAACACCTCTGCAAGCAGCAGGACTCGGCTGTCACACGAGCATCCAGTGCCAACTTCTCGGCCTCATATCTCGGTAAGTACTGACCCTAATTTTTTTTTATTCTAAAACATGTCAAAAAGTGTGTTCTTTTTCTTCTACAATTTTTTTTTTTTTCAAAATATTCGGGGCGCTGCGCGAACGAACGTATATATACACTGTATACGTTTGGACCATTTAAGGGTTAACCCTTTGAGGGTCCGTCCCGTAGATCTACGGCTTTACGTTCAGGGTCCAAACCGTAGATCTACGTCATGAGCTCAGCTCACTCTGATAAACTGTGAGTGGTACATTTGGGCCTAGATATGAGAGAATACATCTATGTGGTATGTGTGCACCACATAAAACAGATCCTGCAGCACGCTGTGTATGAGAGAAAAAAACTGAAATCATGATTTTTCGATTAAAACAGCGACTTTGCAGCATTTTTTCATATGTTTTTTATAGTTCTATTTGCGATTTCTTGGTCTCATTTGATAGAATGGAAGACATATTACAGAAATAGAGATGATTTTGATTGGTTTTCGCACTGGAAATGGCTTGAAACTGAGCTCAAAGTAACAGAAATGTTAAATTTTTGCCGATATTCAAGAGTAAACAAACGACCTCACACGTCTAATACACGCCAGCTGGTGGGTCTAATATGCATTCACAAATATGGTGATGATATTTATACAATTATTACAGTATTGCATAACAGTAAATCTTCTATTTTTTGGTGTGAATAAAAATTCATTATGTGAATAAAAAATAAAAATGGAATTTATTTGTAAAGCCTCAAAACGTAACTAATGAACAGAGGAAATGTTAGTTTAGTTCCAGGAATACCTACATTGTTTATTCTGGACCCTATTTTGAAATTTTAATATTTTGAACTTTATGTTAAATTGGCCAAATTAACAATTTCCAATCACTTTAATTTGTAGTTGAAACAGTTGACTTGGCGATTTCTTGTGCTCAATCGATAGAATAGAAGTAATACTAGTGAAATAGCTAAGAATTTGGTTGACTGGAATAATGTAATTGGCCTAAAATGGGAGTCAAAGTCGGCAAAATCGCCGATTCGTAAATATCGCTGACACATCAAAATTCACGATAGCATAATTTCGTCAATTTTCCATCAAATTTCGTACTTTTTGTTTTATTACCTTCACAAAAAGATTCTCTACCATTTCATAAGAAAAAATAACAAATTTTTTTTTTTTGAAAATTATTGGACACTGGGGCACCACTTCAGATTTGGGCCTTGGACCCTGAAGGGGTTAATAGTGATGTTTAGATCTTTTGTAACATTTAAGCATTAATATTAATTTGCCTGAAATGCAATGAATAATTAGTGGCTTTTTGTGTCTTATTACATTTATATCTACAAAATTTGCACCACATAAATAAAAACTGTATTGTACTGTATTTCCTGGATAATAAAATAAAATCAAGAATGATTGGTCGTGGTTTACAATGTCCATTGTGGGGGTTTAGGGGACCTTACCTGTCCTCAGGAAAATTGGCAAAACTTTAATATTTCCACTACTCTGAGCCCAATTTCAAGCTGTGTTTGGTACTCAAACCAACCAAAATCATCTCTATTTCAATAGGTTGTCTTACATTCTATCAAATACCAAGAAACACTCAATAAAACCATAGAAAACAACTCAAAGTTATTTTAAACCAAACATATACACCTACCATCCGACTTATGACCTGCTCGACTTACGACCACTCGACTTACGACCGTGTTTTTTATGCCAAATTTCTGGGAAATAAACAAGTGTTTGTATTGTACACAGTGTTTATCCTAAACCTTACAGTATAAAATACAGTACTAACAGCATAAAAAGTAAAGTAAAACATGAAATACCAAAATAAAACAATAAAATAAAGTCATTACAAAAATGTTTTGTTGATATTCAGTAGTAAAGTTCGACTTACAACCATTTCGACTTACGACCGGTTTCTCGGAACCGAACTCGGTTGTAAGTCGGATGGTAGGTGTAGTCAGTTTTGCTTTTCCCATCATGCACTGCATGAGGATTTCTTTTTATACTGCACACACTCACTGCACAAACCATTTTCTAATATCTAGGCCAAAATTTACCACTCACAGCTTACCTAGGTGAGCTGAGCTTGTGACATAGAACTACATGAGGGACCCCGGCCTCAATGACGGCCAGTGAGAGGGTTAACACAAGTTGCATCAGTAATTGACAGAAGCACACTAAAAGTTTTTCAAAGAAATAACTTAGGTGAACAAATGGTTCTTAAGAATAATACAATTAAAAGTCCTGTACAGTAAAAGGTCTAAGGCTTATTGTTTGCAGATGATACAATTTGTATAGTGCCATTCATCAATGACAACGAACCTCCATGCCAATGTAAACCAAGTTTTCCAGACTGCCATAGAAAAAAATGCAACACTCAAAGTCAGAGTCCTGGAGGTGCGAAGTACAGTACCTCCACTCTGAAGAATGGGTGGGAATGTTGCAGTTCAGAGCATCATTTGATGTGTGATATCTGCACACTTTTAGTAAGACAGCTATTGTATGAAAGATGAATGTGTTTCCTTCAATGGGTCACTGTACCACAAGGTAGTAGGTTGGTAGAGAGCAACCACTTAGGGAGCTGTTACTGCCCTTTCAGATGAGTGTGAAATGTAAGCCTGGTGTGGCAGGATTGCTGATGATTTCTGTCTCATGAACATGTATGATGATAGGCAAATCTTACAAACTTCTATTCACATTCAGTATCTTTACTTGTCTGCTTCTTAGTACAGTAGTTCTTAATCCTGTAATATTTCCTGTTCAATCTTGAGACCTGGTCTGAGTGGGAAATGACCATTGTAGAAAAAAAAAATCCACTATGGGGATGAGAAGACTGGCAGGTACAGTTCAGTAGCACTTATGTTTCACAATTAGCAGATAGATGATCAAGCCTTCATAACTCCTTGTGCTGAATACCTAACAGGGGCTTAGTACTTCACAAAATACAACCCTCCGGTATGAAAAGAGCAAAACAATAAAAAAAAAAATGGAGAAGAGTATAAAATGCAACAAAACCATCCTACAGAGCAGAAGATGAATGTAAGGAACCCAAGGATAATCAAGTTTGCAGCATCATAGTCAAAGAATCAGAAAATGTTACCATAGTTTCAATAAATAAAAAAATAATAATAATAAAAAAAAGGCTGGATAATTAGTACTTTCAAACCAAAGATATACTAGTCCAGTGAAGATTCTCCAAATCATCTGTATTCTCTAGACTGGGATATTACTGGATTAACACAGAAGATTGCTAATAAAATGTTATTTGATGGAAAACTTGCGGAATTATGCTCTCACGAAGTTAGTGGTCTCGACGATGTTAACGCATCGACGATTTCGCCCACTTTGAGCCCCATTTTCAGCCAATTCCTGTGTACTAGTCGACAAAAATCATATTTATTTCGCTAGAACTCCATTTTTTTTATCGAATGAGTACACGAAACCATCCATTTACCAATTTTAACTATCCAATAAAGTGGTTAGAAATTGGCAAGTTTGCCAATTTCACACAAATTTCAGAAGATGCCAATTTCCAAATAGGGTCCAGAATAAATAATACAGACATTCCTGGCACTAAAATAACAAGTTCTCTGTTTGTTAGTCACGTCCCCAGGCCCCTCTTACATTTCTTTTGCTTTCCACTTTGAATTTTTATTCTCACAAAAAATAAAAGATTTACTGTTATGCAGACTACTGCATTAGTGTAGAAATGGAATAAATAATATCAGTGCACTTGTGAAAGAATATTAGACTCACCAGTTGACATGTATTGGATACTTGGCAGGATTTGTTTACTTTTGAACTTTGGTAAAAATCGAACATTTCTGCTACTCTGAGCTCAATTTCAAGGTACTTTTCATTGTGAAACCAATCAAAATTATCTCAATTTCTGAAATATGTCTTCCATTCTATAAAATGAGACCACAACCATAAATACCATACGAAAATACAAAGCCACTGTTTTAATCCAAAAACACGGTCAAAGTTTTTTTCTCGTTACACATTACACGTTACTGCGCACACTGACCACATAGACCCATTCTTTCATATGTAGGCCTACCAGCTTTCTCTCGCTAGATTTGAAGGTGCTAGAATTTAGGCGTTCTAGTACGTCAATAACCCTGGGGCGTAAGCCATACTGGTACGTCAGAAACCCTGAAAGGGGTTAATCAGCAAATTTAAAATGACTATTTGTTTCCTTTAACACTTTCAGTGGCCGGAACTGATTCCAGGGTCCCTCGTGTAGATTTCTGTCATGAGCTCAGGTCTCTCAGATAAGCTGTGAGCAGTAAAATTTAGCCTAGATATGAAAGAATGGGTCTATGCAGTGAATATACACAGTGTAAAAAAAAAAATCCTGCCCCAAGCAATGCATGATGGGAAAAGCAAAACCGACCATGTGTTTGGTTGAAAATAAAGATTTTGAGAGTTTTCTAGGATATTTTTTTTATTGGCTGTTTTTTTGGCATCATTTGACAGAATTGAAGACATATTACTGAAACAGAGATGATTTTGGTTGATTTTAAGAGCAAAAGT